TTTGAACGAAATTGCGGCCAGATACATGAAGGTATGGCCGTGAATGCGGTCATATACGTTTGAGATACTGCTAGTGTGAGTACGCCCTGAGTTTAGTTTAAATATGTGACACTGTGTGCTTCTATTTCTGGCTGCAAACATAGGAAAGGTAAAAAGGGGAAAAAAAAAAAAAAAAAAAAAAATCGTTGCGGCCTCTTAGGCCAGGTTCATCCCTCATCCACTAGAGCTTCAATTTGTATTTGTGCCTTTCTGTTGCTGATCGCATAAACAGGCTGGATTCATCCTTTTTCTTACTGGTTTGTTTGTGTTCGGCCTATTCATTCTATCAGCTTTTTTTTTTTTTTTTTTTTTTTTTTCTTTTGCTCTTTTTTTTGGCAAGGCTCGATTTGCATGGAAATTCAGGCTTAAGCCACTTAACCCCTTGGGGAGGTACCTTTTCTTTTTGGGGTAACTTCGGCGCAGTCACGAAAACAGTTTGTAATTGCAGTTGAGGCAATCCCGCGAATACAACACACCCCCGCGCGACCCCACCGGGCCCAAAACGTAGGTCATATACATTCAGCATTACCGGCCCTTTTGCCTCAAGTGCAATTACAAACTCAAACCCTGACTGCGCCCTAGTTTTCTCTTTTTTTTTTTTTGGTGGGGGGGCCGAGAGGGGGGGGAGGTAGTAATGGTAGTGGAGTGAATTTTTTTTTTTTTTTTTTTTTTAAGATTTATTTTATTTTCATCTGATTGCATCTGGATTTGGACATGGGTCTGTGTTTCATGAGTTCCTGTGTTTCATGAGGGCTTTTTTCAGGCTCATTATAACAAACATCCCATACCTTTTAAGCCAGACTTGTCACCAGTCCATAGACTGGACAGTAAATATACGCCAACAGCAACAAAAAAAAAAAGGAGAGAAAAAATGAATCAAAGGGGCATAAAATCCCCAAGGCAAAAGTGTGTTTTCATCCAAAATTCACTCTTTCGAGTCTTTCGAAACTTTTTCAGCTTTTCAGGATTTTCAGTAGAGAGGATGTTCTTAGTAGGGCGAGTACAGTAACTACTTTTGCTTTTCAGTTTAGTTATGGGTGTGTCAGTGGCTTGCATCGATAGGAGAGGGGTTCTGCCTGAGGTTGAAGGCATGAGGGCTTGCGGCCCCCAAATGTTCCTTTGTGTACAATTTTGTACTTTTTTTCCATTTTTCCCCCAAGCAAAGACATCTGGGTACGATGTTGCCCCGCTGGGCACTGGGCCCCCGTAATAAAGGCCGTCATGGTTCATAACGCGGACAGAAAAATATGCTTCTCTAACATTCTATTAAAAAAAAAAAACGCCGATTGGAAGACTGCCTCCCACTGGCAGCTCAAGGCCTCTCTCTCTCTCTCTCTCTCTCTCTCTCTCTCTCTCTCTCTCTCTCTCTCGTCTTCTCTTTATCTGCCTCACGTCGTGTGGTCTGAATGTCACCAACTTTCAACTATGCTCTACAAAACACAAAACGCAGTGAGGCCAAGCTGATCTCACTGCAGTAATAAATTCCCTTGGGCTGGGTGGCTGCCCCCGGCTGCCCTCCCAACAGGTCCTCCAATCCAGAAGCATTACATGAATGGACGTGATCAGCTCTGGAAACACACATCTGGAAATGGCCGGCGAGCTAGAGGATGGAGGAGTATGGGCAGTTGTCCCACCTTTCACCAAATGAACCAACCAACCGAGCTGACGCCTGTCTGACGCGAAGAGACGCGAAGAATGCCACTCAAAGAATGTCTGCGGCATTGTTCTTGCTGTAACACATAGCAGTCAGATAGATGTTTGATAGTTCATAGGCGGCAGTGCAACGCCCCCTTTGGATCAAATTGGATGTGTGTGGTCACTTTCAATGCTTTCAGAGTGCATAAGGGCGAGCTGATGAGAAACATCGCTGGTATGGTCACGCCGTCACGGTTATTAGGATGAGCTGTATTAAACCACCAGTACCTTTGTCGGTTCAAAAATCTCGCCCTCCGACCTTTCAGGAGGCCAAAACGAAACGACAGCCGCCGATCAGATTGATCAACGTCGGGCTCGGCCACCTGAAAGTTCGGGTACTGGCCAAAACCGGACGCCAAAGCTACTAGTGGTTAAAAAAAAAAAAAAAAAAAAAAAAAAAAAAAAAATTTAGATACTCGGATAACGTTGCCAAATACGAGCGTGCATATGTTTTTTCATTTCCAATTTTCCAGTCTACATTGAGGCTGAATGCAGTGCGGGCCAGTACGAGGAATATCATCGGACAGGGTCGGAATATTGACTTCGCACAGAGGAGGAGGATTGATTGTGTTTTGTTTTGTTTTTACTTTTTCAACTTTTTTTGTACCGTATAATAATGATCTGCCTTGACGTCGATTAGAGGGATTCCTTGTGCAACTCTTTCACTCCAGGACCTGGAATACGACGGTGTTTTTTTTTTTTTAACAACGGTGGTATTTTACACCAGGCAAATCTTTGATTTCACTCTACCTCGAATGCTCGAATCTGTCCATTGATTTAACTTTTTTGAAGTTTTTTAGCCTTTTCAAGTTGAACACTGGCAATAGAGTGCTCTCGTAAATTAAGGCCTGCACCAGCAATGACCTCATTTCAATTGGTTCATCTCACTTTATCTGTTTTCTGTAAAGCTGAGTAACTGTTCAACAACTCGTTTCTTTTTGTTGGTGTCCATGTAGAAACGCAAAGGCATACTCTCTGCTTTTGAGGACATTGATTTAAAGCTTGAGTACGTTGGTCAAGCACTACTACGTCATTTTGATTCCCTACTTAATTAATTCATTGTAGGCTTATGCGTGGTTTGGCTCAGTGGTGAGTAGCCGGGCGCATCAATAGGATCTGGAGTGTAGCTTTAACTATACAAGTGGACTCGCCGCAGCTACGCTGCAGCCCAGAAGAGGGAATGTTCCGCGGGGCAACAGAACGGGTGAAGGAGCAGCAGCGGCGAGCAGGCTGCAGGTCGGAGGGGGAGGCGGCGGCGGCGAGTCCGCGTCCGGGAAGCTCTTTCTCTCTCTCTCTCTCTCTCTCTCTCTCTCTCTCTCTCTCTCTCTCTCTCTCTC